TGAGCTTTTCCGGTCGCTCAAATATTGATGACATCGCCATAGCCCATCTTTTTAGCCAAATCTTCTTCAATAAAAATATCAGTAATGCAATCCCGGCCCATGATCAAACAGAGAAAGTTTTTTACAATATACAGTTTACTAAACGATCATTTGCCCTCAGCAAATGACACAGATATAGTATTGAAAATCCGGAGCATGACACAAATGTATGAAAAAAGACGTTCAAGCTTCTTCTCAAAGATTTAGTTGAATAGCTGCAGTTGAAATCTTTGCTTGAAAATTGTTTTGCGGGCATTGTTAAAACGGCAAACTTCTTCATTAAAACCCTCTTTGTTCACATCTCTCGGATAAACCGCTCAATTTTGCAGCTTTATTTTGAACAGAAAGATTATCATTATCCAACCTAATGAATGAAAACATATTGCCAAATATCCGGATTGCTTAAAATCTTAAATCAATTTGCTGGATTAGACTATCTAAACCAATAATAAAAACGCTATTTTGTTATTTTTGATAATCTCTTTTTTGTTAAATATGAAGGGAGTCCCTTTAAAATAATTACATTTTGATCTTTATGACTCAAAACAACTGGCCATAGAAAGAAGGTCAACATTAATTATTACCAAGTCAGGTTGAGCATCACATTTCCCCTTTTAGATAAAGTTTATCCAACTGACTCGGATGGTTCACTTTGAAATTCAATTTTGCAGCTTTATTTATTTAATTATTATTATTTTTTTTAATTTGTTATTCTAGGTGCCCCAAGAAGTCCTATCGGTCTTGTCACAGAGCACCGCGGAAGTGAATTTAACCAGAAAGTTCACGCCTCCTTCCTTACCGTGACACGGAATAAGTCCAAAGCTCGTTTCGAACCTGGATCTCCTGCTTATAAAGCAAGCGCTCTAACCACTGCGCCACGGCCGCACAGAACAGAACAGAAAGATTATCATTATTTCGAACAGAAAGATTATCATTATTTAACCTAATGAATGAAAACATATTGCCAAATACCTGGATTGCCTAAAATCTTGAATCAATTTGCTGGATTAGACTATCTAAACCAACAATAAAAACGTTATTTTGTTATTTTTGATAATCTCTTTTTTGTTAAATATGAAGGAGGTCCCTTTTAAAATAATTACATTTTGATCTTTATGACTCAAAACAACTGGCCATAAAAATAGGTCAACATTAATTATTACCAAGTTAGGTTAAGCATCTCATTTCCCCTATTGGATAAAGTTCCTCCAACTGACTTGGATGATTCACTTTGAAATTCATTTAGCTCAATTTCAGGTGAATTGTTTAAGGCCCCCACTAATCTACAGTCGAATCACACTTATGAAGCACGGCAGGTAATCTTGAAAAAGACTGAGAGCTTATTTGTTCCTCTTGGCCCTCATAGACTGTCATGGTCATTATTATAGGGATCCTTAAAGAAAAAAAGGTAGTTAGAAGAAAAAAAAAATGCAATACAAAAAATAATTAATTTACTTGAGGGCTTAATTAAGCGTTCGGAGACAAACACTTAATTTTTTTTGGTTTTTACTATGGCTATAAATCCCATATCCTCTGAAGAGGATATGGGATTTATATTTTTTGCTTCTTCTTTTGCTATTTTAGTAGCTTTAGCACGGTTTTGAAAAGTGGAAGATTTTTAGAAACACCTAAAAGTGTGCGGCCGTGGCGCAGTGGTTACAGCGCTTGCTTTAAAAGCAGGAGATTGAGGCTCGACACGAACTCTGGGAATATTTTTGCACCTCGGTAAGGAAGGAGGCGTGAACTTCCTGGTTGAATGCACTTCCGCGGTGCTCTGTAACAAGACCGTTAGGTCTTCTTGGGATACCTAAATAACAACAACAAAAAAAAAATCTTATGTAATTCAAAATTAGTTTATAAGCAAAGGTTTCAATAATACTTCCGCATTTATAGAAATTTAAAGTTTCACTCAAAAAACACAATTTTTTTATAGAACAGTTGGATAAAAGAATATAAATTAGTTGAATTTTACATACGGTTTCGGTGTTGAAAAAAAGAAAATATTAAAATTCTTTTTAAATTATCAACCAACTTATTTAACCTTGAATTATCAATTATAAAACAAGTTAAAACTCATTATTTATCAATCAACTTTCAATACCTTTAACCAAAACCCTTACTTCAGCAAGTTTGACCTACGCATCGAATTTAAATTTCAACATTTCCACAAACAATTTGGGTTTAAAATAGACCTTTCGTCTACTTTAAACTCAATGCAAAAACTCAAATAATTGATAACTGGCTGGACCTTGTAAAGACAAGGCGGTTTATTCACCTGAAAATGTAACCCTATGATTGTTTCATTTGCTTTAACGATAACTACTTCAAAAAGTAGCGCTTTTACCGTAAGATTGCCAACAAACATCTTGTTCGCTTCAACTTCTTTAATAATCGCTTTGCTTCTCTATGAAATGCAGTACCCAACGAAGTTATCAGTGCTGTCAGAGTCGACTGCTTCTAAGTGAAATTTGATCAGTTACCAGTATAATTACCACAGCGCAGCATCTTCCGTGCAATTGAGCACAAGCTAGCATGGTCAACTGTTCATGGGCTTACGGAATACGCCCGGTTCCGTCTTATTCAATTACAATCCTACTTTTTTGTAAAAAATAGTTTACAATTAATTATAATAATAGAATTTAAAATTAAATTTTTTTTATCATGTCCATTTTTATTCCGAATACTAAAGCTTCAACCTCAAATACAAAACTAAGCAGATTTCTCATTGTCAGTCATTAAAATGTTTTCTACTTATATAAAAAAAAAAAAAAAAATCAATGGTTTGTTCGGCGCCCTTTTCAAGCTTGGCGCCCGGGTCAATTTGCCCCCTTTGTCCCTCCCTCTCAAAGGCCTTGACTTTAAAAACAGTCTTCTTGATTGCGCTTAAAAAATGGAAATTTAAAATGCAAGAAACCAATGTTAAAAATTTACAGAATACATGCAACCTAATATAAGTTAGGCTACTTAAATAGAACTTTAAGGAAGTATAAACATTGTCTTCTACATGGCTTCCTTTTTTCTACATGCCTTTTTTCCCTTTATAGGTTGATTGTCTGCATTTCTTCTTTACTTATTGATTAACTGCATTTCTACTTGTAAATAAATAAACCATTTTCCTTGTAAAAAAAACGCAATGGTTCTAAACGAGAACATTCAATGATTAAGTCATCGCACCCAAATGAACATCTGTAAAAGATATGTGCAAATTTAAATGGACTGAATATTTGTTTGGCAATTGATTATTAAAAAAAAAAAAAACTTAAAAAAAAAAAAAATGACTTTGATTTAAAATAAAAAAACAAAAAAAAAATATTTTGTAAGTTTAATGAGTAAAAAAACTTGCAACTTTATAGCTGCGCCTGTTACCAGTGATTTTATAGTGCAATATTTATCAAACAAGGTTTGAGTCCTAGTATTGAGTTTTTAAATAAGATCTACTTGCGTACAGTAAAAACTGATTCGAGAATTATTTAATTAATAGGACATTAAAAATGTCAAATTTACCTCTTAACGTCTTCAATTGCATTGCCAAATCCCTCCTGTTAAATAAGATGAAAAATTTGGAAACTATGTTAAAAGTTTTAGTTTCAATTGCTAAAGTAAACTTATGATACTAGGTTTTAATATTTTGCTAATAACACAGATTTCATAATACATTACTGTTATATTTGATGCATGTAATCTGCGGTGCTTGAACTAGACTGAGCAATGAAAGCCCATAGAGAAATATGAAACATTTCTATTAAATTAATTTTTATATAAAGGAGAATAAACACAGATTCATTTTAAGAAGAAAAAGCTTATACACAAATCATAATCAACAATAATTTTATTGTTAAAGTATACCTAAAACAAAACAGGATATATAAGTAACCATAAATCTTTATTAAATATAAAAGTTTAACTTACTTTCAAACAAATATATAAATGCATAGATATATCAACATTTAAAATGAATAAATCTAAAACATCTGATGAAAACATCTAAAAGAGTACAGATGATAGTGTGAAGAGGTGCTAAAAGAAGCACATGAAAGAATGGTTGAGGGAGTGAAATTTAATAAACAGCCAAATTTAAATCAAATATATATATATATATATATTTTTGGAAAAAAACTGCTTATTTTAGAAGATATCTATTGTTTAATTTTATTTTACTTTTAATTTAATTAAAAATTGTGAAGCAATTAATTTAAGTTGATTGTTGTGAAGCAATCATAAAAATCAAGAATGTAAAATTTTTTTAAGATTCTCTAAAAACCCAAACAAATTGAAACATTTTTTTCAATTCTAATGCGCTATTGTCAAAGACTTGAATAAAATTCAATAACTTATAGAAATGTAGTTTTAAACATAAACTACTGGCACAAATCAAGTAAAATACTGGATTGTGGCTTAGAACTCTTATTATACGATAAGTAATGATGGTAAATTTTTGTCTAATACTGGAAAACTTAATAAGTTTCTTCCGGTGTTCGACACCTTTTCTACCCCCATTCCCATTTCAGTGATTTGATTTTAAAGGTTTGTACATTCATTTTATCTATTTCCTATTTTCTTGAAAAAGAAAAAATTTCAATAATATTAGATTTGTCATTTCTTGTGGTTATTTGAAAACAGTTATGAAAATTATTTCTAATAGTTGGTATTTACGGAAATTTATTTGCTGTAAATCATCACTTGTGTTTATTTTTCTGTTTACGATAGCCAAACTTCCTTCATATGTAAAAAAAGACAGGCCATCTACAATATTTTGGCACTTACTTCAGTTTGTGTTAGCTCAGCATATTTTTTAGTGACAAAACGTTGTCAACTGAAAGGGCCTTCGACCACTGGGTGGTTTACCCAATGAGAATAAAAAAATGGTTTAGCATGATCGCTGCTTTATCAAACTTAAGGCCTAATTAATTTTTAGACTTATGTAGTTCAACCATGAATTTAAAAAATTTATACAAATTTAATTATAAGATGTTTACTGTTTCATTTATTTTATATCTTTTCTAGATCGCATTAAAATGAAACTACCAAAATACTATTAATACGCACCATATACATACATACATACATACATACATACATACATACATACATACATACATACATACATGTACATACATATATATGATTTATTTATGAACATATACAATACAAATATGTTATTATGATTTTTCTAACATAGTTTTTAATAACGTTTGTATTTAAATACGTCAACTGGTGATGTTTAAAGTGATAAGGGTACCATCAGCAGAATACTTTGAGTAAATAATTTAACTCGAGTATATAACTTCGAGTATATAACAGTCGAACCATTTGGTTTAGATTTTTTCCAATGTCACATCAGTGCGGAATCACCTAAAGAACAAAATTTTTTTTTGTGTGTTAGCTAGGTCACTTGAATGTCTGCTCAAACCAAAGGAGTATTTCTTTAGTCACATCAAAAGAGTTTAATTCTTTTATCAAAACAAAAAAGTAATTCTTTGGTTATACCAAAAAAGTAATTGTTTAGTTATACCAAAAAAGTAATTGTTTGGTCAAAACAAAGAGGTAATTTTTTGGTTAAACAAAAAGAGTAGTTCTTTAGTCAAACCAAAGAAGTAATTCTTTGGTTATACCAAAGAAGTAATTTTTTTGGTCAAAACATAAAAGTATTTCTTTGGGTCTAATTAAATGTTGTTAGTAACGTCTGTATTTGAGATTTTATGTTGACGTAAGTAAATTTTAACTCATTTAGTTCCAATTAACGCTTTTAATCTTATTCGTTTATACGGTTAATGATATCGGTTTATGCGGTTAAACTATTTAATTACACAGTAAGTCTCTTTCGTTTTAACGTAAATTAACGATGAGGCCTTTTTAATATTAGCTTAAGTGCAAAGATTTGAATAAAATGTTTGCATGAATTTAGTGGTCAGTGTTGTAAAAAATACTGTCAAAAAAGTATTTAAAATACAAAAACAAAAACTTAGTTCAAAAAGTTTTTAAAATACAAATAATTTAATAGCAAAGTATTTTAAACGCAATATACTTTTTAAAGTGTTTTAAATTAGCTAAATTCTGTATTTTCCTTGGCTTTCAGCAACAGTTGTTAAAAATGATTATCTGACAACTAATATCGGCGTGGCACATCAAGAGACAGAATAAAAACCTATTTTATTTTAAACCGACGTTTCAAGTTATGTGTAAATTGATGAACCAAATAAAAATTGTTTGAATAGTTGTTTTATATTTACCGAAGTTAAAAGCAAGTTTAGTTTGATACTATACGCTGTATAACGGAATTGTTGCGAGGTTTAATGGCTAGTTATAATGTATTTATTAAACACAGTATAAAAATACTTTAAAGTGTTTAAAGAACGTATTTAAGAAACTAGTATTTAGAATAATTTACAACACTGATAGTGGTCTAGTAAAAAACCGTCTTATTTTTAGAAAGATGGCATTTTTTTATTTAAACAACTTTGTTTTGTTAATGGAATTTATATTTAAAAAAATAATTTCTTCACTATAACACATTAAATATTGTATCTTTAAACTGAAAAATAATTCTAATGAGTTTAAAAATGATGAACACAAAGTTTATTGAATTGCTAATTTAAAAAAAACTCATATACAAATAGCAAATAAAAGTTAATTTGTTTGTTATTTGTATGTGATATTTTTTTTAAAAAAGTGAAAACTAAATTTTCATACCAAAATTTTAATTTTCAATTATTTTTTTTTATAAAAAGGTCTGCCTATTTTTGAAGTACTATTTAATTTTTTTGTTGTACAAAATCAGTTTCCCAAAAAAACCCTAATTTCTTAGTAAATATGCAATTTCACTGATTATTTCAATTAAAAAAGCCATTTTGCATCTTGAAAAAACACAACTTGCGCTGAAAAAGAAACTTAAAAAAAAAAGAGATAAAATAAGGAAAAGATAGGTGCATTAAATATCATGAATCAATAGAAAAAACTTTTAAAAAGCAATATCCAAAATATAACTAAGCAAAAGAAAGCGGCATTCAATATCATTGTTTATTGTTGTTAAAAACATTTCACAAATAGCTAGTATTGATATTATACCAACAAGACAAGTTGTATATATAAACTATATAAAAAGTACAAGAAAGTCTAACAAAAAAATACACTTGTTATTTACATAAGGGACCATCCATTAAGTACGTACTCAGTAAAACTGTTTTAGGAGCCCCCTTGTATGCACCTGATGCTTTTAACAACCCAACTCCTCCCCCTCCCACTGCTTGCGTACGCATTATTAATTATAAAATCAACTCCCCCACTTCTTCAATGCCTAAATTTATCAAAATATCAAAAACAAAAAAACCTTTAATTAATTTGACATTTCTCTATTAAATATCATAATATTATTTTTTTATTGAGAAATATAGAACAAACGATAGTCAAATCGCGAAGATATTCTGTCTTTAACACCTTTCCTTTCTTGTACTCACTCATACATTTTTGGTTAATCCCCAAAAATTTTGAAGGTTTCTAACAGGTGACAACTAAAAAATGGGACTAAACTTATAAGGAACATAAGTTTTCAGGTTATCTGCTTTTATGACACCTTTTTTTTCATATCTTGCTTGGCGATGAATATTTTTTGCAGAGTTAGGTAATGCTAACTCTGGACAGAATACAAATGCACAATCTAAATGGTACTTGTTAATTAATAGAATAATTATTTTCTTTGTGCGTTTGTTAAAATAATTTATAGCCAGACCAAAAAGCAAAATAAATCTATAAAATGCCATTTTCAGAAAATGTAATTCATAGAAGTAATTTTTCTGAGACTTTATTTTTTAATTTTATAATTAACTGTACATGTAGATTTTAAATCATTAGTATAAAATAAATTATATCCATTGATACTGAAATTATTTAACATTAAACAACCTCATTACCAATGACAGGTTTCTATTTTTGACAAAAGTAGCTGCTTTTGCTGACTTGAACGTTTTCAACTTGCCCTTTTTTCTTGGTTTAATTTTCATCTTTGTTTTTTAATATTATACTAATATATTGAGTATAGTTAAATTTTTGAATTGCTTGTTCTTATTAACCTCCAACTTTATGGCTAAATCTGGATTTGAGCCTTTTAATGTCTTTCCTAGTAATTTTTTAGCTTTTCCTTTACTTCCTTAAACTTTTGGGTATCCAGATTCACTCAGATTTAGCAAATTTAATTAACCTGATGATGGTGTCTTTTGGTATATTATAAATTTTAAAGTTATTATAAGAAAACTTTTTATCAACGTAACTACAACATAAACAAAGTTCATACACATATTTGTCTTCGCTTGTTTTGAATTTATTTTATCATTCATTTTTCTATAAAGACTTTTAACCCATTAATACCAAAAAGCTTTAAACCCATTAATGCCAAAAAGCTAAATTATTTAGGATTGAAATGACAAGGTGAAATAAACTGTAAATCTATTGTCTTTTCTTTCAAAAATTTAATTTTGTTTAAACAGAAATTTTTTGAAATTCAATTGGCTATTAATAACCTATAGAGAATTGTATAGTTCATTTGTATATTTGTAACTTTACATATAACTTGATTGCAGTATAGGCGTTTAGCTTATAAAATGATGACCAAAAAAGGATTATATAACATATATTCAATAAAATAAACATATAATATATATATATATATATATATATATATATATATATATATATATATATATATATATATATATTATATATATATATATATATATATATATATATATATATATATATATATAATATATATATATATATATATATATATATACATATATATATATATATATATATATATATATATATATATATATATATATATTATATATATGTATATATGTCTATATATATATATATATATTTATATATATATATATATATATATATATATATATATATATATATATATATATATATATATATATATATATATATATATATATATATATATATATATATATATATATATATATATATATATATATATATATATATATAAAACAGATTAAAAATTTATTAAAAATGATCATAAAATATTTTATGTATATAAAACATACCTTTACTTAAAAAAGATATTTTATTATTCTCAGACCTGTTTATTTTATTGAATATATGTTATATAATCTCAGATTATATAACATATATTCAATAAAATAAACATATAATATATATATATATATATATATATATATATATATATAATATATATATATATATATATATATATATATATATATATATATATATATATATATGTATATATGTCTATATATATATATATATATATATATATATATATATATATATATATATATATATATATATATAAAACAGATTAAAAATTTATTAAAAATGATCATAAAATATTTTATGTATATAAAACATACCTTTACTTAAAAAAGATATTTTATTATTCTCAGACCTGTTTATTTTATTGAATATATGTTATATAATCTCAGATTATATAACATATATTCAATAAAATAAACATATAATATATATATATATATATATATATATATATATATTATATATATATATATATATATATATATATATATATATATATATATATATATATATATATATGTATATATGTCTATATATATATATATATATATATATAATATATATATATATATATATATATATATATATATATATATATATATATATATATATAAAACAGATTAAAAATTTATTAAAAATGATCATAAAATATTTTATGTATATAAAACATACCTTTACTTAAAAAAGATATTTTATTATTCTCAGACCTAGACTCAACGGAGGAAGTGGGTTAACCTATAAAAAAAGTATTAAAAGATTTTTAAATGATTATTTATGATATATATGAAGTTTATATCACAAATATAAAAGTAAACAAAGTTATTATGAGTGCAAAGAGTTAAGTTTTTTAAAATCTTTTTACAGAATTTATTTATTATTTTGGGTTATATCAACTAACTACTTAATCACTGAAAACATGCATAATGTTGCTGCAACACACTTATTATTTCCCAAAACATGCTGTTGACAATATACCTAATGTTTATGACAACATACCTAATGTTGCTGACAACATACCTAATGTTGCTGACAGTATACCTTATGTTGCTGACAATATACCTCATTTTATTGACAACATACCTCATGTTGTTGACAACATACCTAATGTTACTGACAGTATACCTTATGTTACTGACAACATACTTAATGTTTATGACAACATACTCAATGTTGCTGGCAACATACCTAATATTGCTGGCAACACGCACAATGTTGAAAAAACACACATTCTGTTTCTAAGCACAATGTGTGTTTAGAAAATGGAGTTTTCCAGGCTGTAATGCTTTGTAACTTGTGTTGGTGGTAACAGACTAATTGGCAGTTAAGAATTAAATTAAGTTACATAATTTAAATATTTTAAAAGTTAGGTAGACCACATTAGAATTAAAGTTATAATTCTGGAAATAAATTATCTTTAAAGATATGTTTTAGAGATGGTATAATCTAATAAGAGCTTGTTGATTGTATTGTGCGCACAATTGGCACGCATATCTTGGGTGTGGGATAAAAATGGCATTGGTATATGCTCAAAAGTGAACTTCGATTAACATAATAGCGGAATTTAGCCAGAATGTAATTAGATTTGTTTAGTTTTACTTTTAATTCTTCACAGTGGGATACTGAGGATACTCACAGTGGGATACTTAATTGAGTGGGATACTGAGATTGAGTTAGATGAATTTATGCCTACTTAATCTAAAGTTTCTAACTCACACTTTTTAACAAATATATCAGTTATATTAGGTCATTTATTTATAAATTATATCAACATATAATTTATATAATATATATATATATAATATTAATATATATAAATTAGATTCTGTAATAGACAATTGAAAAGTTTTAAATGAGCTAATAATATATACATATATATATATATATATATATATATATATATATATATATATATATATATATATATATATATATATATATATATATATATATATATATATATATATATATATATATATATATATATATATATATATATATATATATATATATATATACATATAGATATTTTACATCTTCGTTTCCAACAAGGCTGCAAGCAACCACTATAAGAGTTGGAAATTAATGGAATAGAAAAGATGAAGTTTGTAGAGCAAAATAACGATTGAAAAACGACTTAAAAGATTGCAAATTATATGAATCAGGAAAGCAAGAAAATGTAAGTGAATTCTAAAGAACTAATAAACGAAAATAGAAAGAGAAGCAACACTACAACAATGTGATAATAGTTGGAGGTTGGCTGCTAGAGCAAGTCCAACTATGTTTACAATGCATTTTTGCACCTTGTCTAAAAGAAAAAGGGCATCATTAAAAGAACCGCCCCAGATATGGCAACAGTATTCCATACAAGGTTGGATTTGAGATTTATAGAGATGAAGAATAAAATATCTAGAGTAAGAAAGTGACAAGCACAATAAAGCAATGCAACCTTAGCAGATGCTAATTTTGAAATGGATTTGATATACAGTTTCCAAGAAAGATAAGTAAGAGTTAATGCTAGAAGATGAAGGGTAGATGACTCATCGAGTACATTACCGTTCATAAAAGCAGGAAGATCTAAACTATTGCAATAACAATTGCCTCAACAAAATTGAGCTTTACCCGAGTTAAAGTTCTCTGGCCACTATTAGCCCCATGCTGTAGAAGAAGTGAAATCCTTTTTAAGCTCAAATGCCCCCTCCAAATAATCAGAGAGTGTTGGCTTCTTATCATGACAAATATAAATGGTAGTATCATCAGCAAACAATGCCACCTTAGATGTGAGAATATCTGGAAGATTGTTAATGTAAATTAAAAAGAGTATAGAGCCAAGGATTGAATCTTGAAGAACCCCTGAAATGACAAGATATGAAGAAGAGTGCTGTCCATCAAAGACAACTTTTATACTACGATTGGAAAGGAAAGACTCAATAATCTTAAAGATGTTACCAGATACATCGAAAGAGAAAAGCTTATGGAGAAGACCAGCATGTCAAACTTTATTATTATGCCAGACTTTATTAAACTTAAAGCTTTAGAAATGTCAAGAGCAATAGTCTTAACCTCTTCATCTCTATCTAATGCACGATAAAACCTATCCGTTATTACTGTTAGCAAATCAGCTGTAGAATTGAGAAGATTAAAATCCATTTTGACGATCAGAAAGTAAATTATTAGATTCAAGATGAAAGATAAAGTGTTTGTTAATTAAAGATTCAAAAACCTTGCTTATGATAGGAAGAAGACTAATGGAACAGTAGTTAGACGAGTCAAATCACTTTCCAGAATTTTTATAAATAGGGATAACAGATGCCGCTTTCCAGCATGCTGGAAAACACGACTCTGATAAGCACTTGTTAAATAGTTTTGTACACGACAGCACTGGAGAACACTTCTGCAAGACTATAACAGGTATTTTGTCTAGACCACAAGCTGCAGAAGAGTTTAAGTGGGAAATCACTTTTGATGCGGAAGCTGGAATGATACAAATGACAAGCAATCAATCAACCTGTTTGACGGCTATATCAGGTAGAACACAACTAGTGGAATCAAAAAATGATATGAAAAGTTCTTAGCAAAAAATTCAGCTTTGTCTTCAGGTGAGGTAACAAAGTCTGAACCAGATAAGAGAGGTGGAAAACAGATTTGCCCTTATTATTGATACTATTAAAGATTCTCCAGAAGTCGCAAGAGCCTAACTTTTGTGATGAATAACAAGATTTCATGACCTAAGAATAGCGAGCTCTGTCATTAGACCTTTTTACTATAGTTTCTAGCGATAGTATATAGACACCTGTTTTCTGGAGAACTGTTTTGTTGATAGATATGGAAGTAACGGTTTCGATAGAAAATTGAAGCAACACAATACAAGGAAAACCATGGAGAAGAGTGGGAATTGATCTGGAATTGTTGAGAAGGACTGAAAGATTCCATACCAGCCTAAATCCACGAAGTTATGTATGAAGCACATTGCTTCTTACATAACATCTCATATTGCTTTATTGAAGAATGAGATAATAGTTTTAGAGAGATAGAAAACCATGATCAGAAGCACCTAAGGCTAAATGCGGTTCTCCACATTTTCTCCAGAAACTAAGCACTGACTAGAATCAGAAACAAGACATAAGTCGAGTAGAGAAGGTAAATGATTTGGATTGTTTGGTAAGCAAATTGGAAAGTTGACTATTTGAGTTAGAGATTTGATTGATTTAGAAAGTTGAGGGCCTTAACGCCAGCAAAGTCACTGACACTAGAGCCAAGCCATTCAGTGTGATAAGCATTAAAGTCACCAACAATAACAATATTGGCTAGTGGATAAAGAGAGAGGAATTAGTCAATTTGATCAGAAATAACATCGAAAAGAGTGCAGTCTTGAGATGAAGAAGAGTGAGATAAAACAAAGAGAAAGGCAATAGAGTGAAGTGGTGCTAAATAAAAGGACATAAAAGAATAATCTGTGGATTCAAACCTAGTTTCCTAACAAATGGGTGAATTCTTACAAACGTAAATACTTAGGCCAAGCATGCGACTATTGGAGTCTTTACAAATTAAAAGAAGATAACCATCAACGCTAAGAACACAAGACAGCTGAACTCAAATTAGTCCCACAAAGAGCAAATAGGTCTGGTGAACTTTGTAAAAGATAAGATTCAACAGAAGAAAAGTTATTTCAAAGACAACAAATATTAGTGAAAAATTGGTGATGATGATGGTGATGCTTTTTGTGTTTTATAGTTTAGTCATTTTAAATTTTTTAAAGAACTTGACTCAAAGCATAAATAGTACTCAGTACATTATTTAATAGTCCAAGCAATTGCCTCATTAATGTTAATAAACCCTAAGCCATAACAAAGGGCTTTAAATGCCTTTACTCTATCTTATCTATACACCACCTCTAACCTTTACTCTATTTTATCTATACACCACCTCTAGCCTTTACTCAACCAAGAGCACCAAGTCAAGGGTGTTTTAAGTTGGAGTTGGTTTCTCCTAGCCTTTTCCTAAAAAAGCGTATCCTACAAGGCAGCAGAACATGAAGCAGGTTGTACTGGGTTATGTGTTACCAGTAGAAGGATAACCTGACCTGACTACATAGAAAATCATCATGGAAATGTAGGGAAGCAATGTTAAGATGAATATTTAGAACTAAATTGGGTACCAAAGTTTTAATAAGAAAAAGGTGTGCAATCCTGAAGAACAATCTGCAATAAAGTAAAATCTGCTGTTGGAAAAGTTAAGTAAGATTGTTGCTTCTTTTAAAGAAACAGGAATTTCTGATTTCTAATAATATTAGTTACAAGTTCATTTAATAGTTAAGCAGTAAAGGATACTCAGATCTTAGTGTAATTGTTTTTTTTTATGTATATATTTCTTCTCAGTTCATGTTAATTTATAATAACTAGAGTGACGTCAAACATCATAAATCCATTTTTATTTCTTTTAAAGTTGTTAAATATGTTAGAAGATGTGTAAATTTAAAAAATATTAGAGTGGTCCAAATATTTGGAAATTTTTCTTGCTGAAGAATAAAAAATAAAGAAAATTTATAAAAATTATAATTAAACTCACCCTGTGCACTTTTCTTTTTCTATTACTTCTTCTTTTTATACTCTTATAATGCTCCCATATAAGTTTTGCAGAATAAATTTTTGCTATAGTCATTTCCTTGCAATCTACACATAAATTATGTTATGTTTTTTAAATGAGAAATCTAATTAAAATCTTGTTATATCACTGTTACACAGGAAATATACGCACAATGTTTTTTCTTATAAAGTAATATTAAAATTAGTGACCAAAGTTATAAAATATTACAACATAATTAATCTAATTTAGCTAGATACATGTTTTTTTTATTTTTAATGTTTTTAAACATTTATTTTACATTAATATACAGCAGAAACATCATCAAAGTATTTTAAAAATTTAATTTCAAGATCAAGACAATAGAAATATTTGTATTGTTGTAATATAAATTTTTTTTGTCACATTTAGCTTAGAATTTTGATAACCCAATCATCTTTTACAAAACTCTAAATAGAACTCTATTCATGGAACTTAGCTTGTGTGATGTCAGCTTTTAAATCACTGTTCTCCTCACTTATAAACAGTTTTACAACAAGTTCAAAATATTTGCAAATGTAAGGTAGTTAATATATTAAAAATAAAAAAATAAAGCCTAATATTTTAACTGTTTACAGATCATACCATTATAAAATTTTTTTTCTATAGAAATAATGAAAACTATTATTTTTCATGAATGAAGAGATTAAGAAATGTAATGTTTCTTGAATGACAAGATTTAGGAGTATAATTTCCTAAAATATTTAATATTTTATGATCGACAATATTATTTTATGCAAATCTGTTTGATGAATATGCTATTTTATATAAAAAAACATCAGTTGTTTTTGTATTTATTTAATTCAAGAGTTATTTTGTCAAATTTGTGACTTTTTTGCCCCCACCCTTTTAATTTCCTCAAATTTTAAATTTTAATTTTGAACAATACTTGTCATTATTATTTTTATTCCTTATAATAAAATATTTAAAATACATACAACTTAAAATATATAGTTTAGAGTATACTTTTAGGAGTCCTTGGTATAACAAGGTCCAAAGTTCGCTTTGTAATATTCGGAAACTCCATCTTCAACATCTTACGAAATTCCATATCATTACTTTTTAGATTTGCTATAAAGTAAAACAAAACTTAGATTAATTTTTGATAGTAATAATTTATTTCATAATAAATTTATTTCATTATTATAAAAATTGTTCAATTCAAACTGTGAAAATTTTAAATTGGTATTATTCCCTGTTTCTAAGCTAGAATTTAAGCAAATATTTTTATATAGAGTATAGTTCATTAGTTTCATTACTGTATTTCTTCTACCAGTTTATTATTTCTGGCTTTTCTAGTTAGAGGAAAAGCTGACTTTCCTCCTGTTTGTTCTTTTCAAAAATCTTCAACTGAGCCAAGCCTTTATTTCTGGACTGCTGGAGACAAAGTTTTTGATATCTCTTTATAAGAAAACTAAATATAAGCTTATTTAATTTTTTTTTTTTCAAATATCTTTTTTCTTTTTATATATATAAACAAACCAACAAGTTTGCAGCCACTATTAATGTTGGAAGTGAATAGAAAAGAAAAGTTGACAGCTGAGCAAAAAATAATTTAAAATGCAAACCTTAAAATCATTGTCAAAAAAAAACAGTAAAAGGTAATAAAAATGAATTATATAAAAAAAAATATATTAAAAAAAAAAATCAACTTAAAATGTAAAAATGAATTCCAGCTTAATGAATTTGGCAAAACTAAATATTACAAACTTTTAAAAACAAATTATATACTGTGTAACATTTGACACATAGGGCAAAAGTTGTTGATAAATTTGACAATTTGCTTTCACTATGCAATATTATAATGAAATACAGTAAAAAAAACCATTTAATATAATAAAGTATAATGTGATAATAATAAATAAAATACAGTAAAAAATGTAATACAGTAGAAAAAGCTAACACAGCAAAAAAGTTAATACAGTAAAAATGTAATATATAATAATAAAATACAGTAAAAAAAGAGGCTATTTTATAATAACATTCATAAAATTAAATTTGTAAGATCTTAATCATAACAAAATAAATAAAATTTTGTTTAAATCAAAAAAATTTTACAATATAAAAGCTTTATGAGCATTTTTTATTTTTCATATTATCTTTACCATATACAAAAAATAGAAAGTAACTCACTATTTTCAGTATATACTTCCAGACCTGTACGCACAAGTGCACAAAATGTTCCTGTATAGTCAACTGTGCCATTTTCATACAAAATCATATTCATCTGTACTAAACGCTGTGCAAAATTAATATCAAAATAGTTAATAATGGTTATGGTAAAATTAAATTTCAATATTATTTAAAAAGCATATAAGTATAGTGCTTTTTAATAAATATTAATAAAGTAAATGTGTATATATATATATATATATATATATATATATATATATATATATATATATATATATATATATATATATATATATATATATATATATATATATATTTATACACACATATATATATATATATATATATATATATATATATATGTATATATATATATATATATATATATATATATATATATATATATATATATATATATATATATATATATATATATATAATACATATATATAAGAATATATATATAGAAATCAAAAATATTAAGTAATGCAATACTGTTTGCAAAAAAACACACAAGTATTAGCAAAGAGAACATCAGAGTCATTAAACATTACAAAACGTTCTTGCTATTTTTTAACAATGAAACATGGAAGAAAAACTTAGCACACGATTGCTTTAATGTCACAATGGGTTGTTTTGACGGTGTAGAAGTTTGTGAACTGGTGGGCTTATATATATTAGACTCACTATCTAAAATAATAAATAAAGAAGATGTTGGACTATACCATGACGATGGTTTGATAGTTCTTCGTAAAAAAACTGGATTACAAATTGATAGGCTACAAAAAAACATAATTAAAGTTATAAAAATGATCGGTTTTAAAATAGAGATTCAAACAAACCTACCCGCAGTCAACTTCTTAGATGTCTCCTTTAACTTAGAAAAAAACTCTTACCAACCTTTCAAAAAACCAAATGAATATCTAGGTTACATCCACACTGAGTCCAACCAACCTTCGCAAATAATAAAGCAAATTTCCATCTCTATCAACGACAGCTTATCACAAAATTTCTCAAATGAAAAAACATTCAATTTATCTATACCAGAATACGAAGATGAATGAAGAAGAAATGGATTCACTGGTTTTAATTTAAAGTATAATCCCCAAAAAAGTGAAAAAAAGAAAAAAAAAAGAAAAAGAAATATAATATGGTTCAACCCCTTGTATAGTAAAAGCATTTCTACCAATGTCGGACATATCTTCCTAAACTTAATTGACAAACATATTCCAACATTCCACCTGCTAAGTAAACTATTCAATCAAAACACCATCAAAGTGAGTTACAGCTGCACCAAAAATATTGCAAAAATTATAAAAAGCCACAACATAAAAATCAGTTCAAAAAAACCAAAAGAATACCCACCCTGCAATTGCATAAATAAAGAAAACTGCCCTATAATAGGAAAATGTAGAGCCTCCAACGTTATTTATAAATGTACAGTATCCCCCCCCCCCCCAACACCTCAAAAAAAGTATATATTGGCCTAGCAGAAGGTGCATGGAAGAAAAGATGGGCTAACCACAAACACTCATTCACAAACAAAAAGATGAAAAATTTAACCACCCTTTCAAAGTATATATGGCAGATAAAAGAAAACTTAAAAATAACACCCAAATTAACCTAGTCAATAATTAAACAAGTCCCAGCCTACAGCAACGTAACAAAAAATGCTTGCTTTGCCTTCATGAAAAACTTTGCATAAAAGGTACGCAAGAACTATTAAATAAAAAAAAAGAAATAATATCTAAATGCCGTTATGAAAACAAATTCTTGCTTGACAACCACGAGCCCAAAGATTAAAAAACCAAACGCTTGTAAATAGTTAACATTTTATTATTGTTTTTGAATGCCACAATGTTTATTGAGCATATTTTTTAACAAAAAAAACAATGTATTTTTTACCTGATGATTGCTAAACGCATGAAACTTTTTGTAGTAAAATTTTTTATTTAACCTTGTCAAAAAAAACAACAACAACTATATATATATATATATATATATATATATATATATATATATATATATATATATATATATATGGTCAGCTTTTCCTGCTACTGGTAACATGTAACCCAGTACAACCTGCTTCATGTCCTGCTGCCTTGTAGGATACGCTTTTTTAGGCAAAGGCTAGGAGAAGTTAACTCCGAATTAAAACACCCCTTGCCTTGGGGCTCTTGGTTGAGTAAAGGCTAGAGATGGTGTCTCGATAAAAATACTCATCTTGGGCAGATGTTACATGCATCCAGCTGCTGTCTTGTAGAAGGCCTCCTAGGCAAAGACTTAAGGGGTAAACAGTTTCTATCTGTTGACCAGCCTCGCACCCCTTCCTCATCTATTAGGCTGGCGCAGATGTATTTTTAATACATTGTTTCCAGTTTAGGATGTTGAACGCTGGATCTTCTTGACTCAATGCGTGGGTATTGCTTGTGTCTCTATTTTTATGACTGGGCAACTCATTCTATTATCTCCTAATGAGGGTACAGCTCTAAAACTCAGTTTTATGGTTCTGAGGCCGGCTGGTAGTCAGGTTTCCCGAACTCTGTGGTAGCTCTCAGAGAGGCTGATTCCATCAACAGCCGAAAAATATCAGAGTACTAACAGTGCCATGTTGCGCATGGATGGTGTCCCTGTTTGTACTTTTGGTGTGCATTGCAGAGGCCACATTTGGAGCCCTTTGTTACGGCTTAGGGTTTATTAATAGTAATGAGGCTATTGCTTAGTTGTTAAATAGTGTACTGAGTACTATCTATACTTGAGTCAAGTTCTTTATAAATTTAAAATGACTAAAGTACCTAAAACTAAAAAACACAAAAAACCATCGTCATCACCAAGTTCTCTAAACCTATCATTTACTAATATTCGTGGTCTTCGAAGTAACTTTTCTTCTGTTGAGTCTTATCTCTTGCAAAGTTCACCAGACCTACTTGCTCTTTGTGAGACTAATTTGAGTTCGGCTGTCCCATCTTGTGATCTTAGTGTTGATGGTTATCTTCCTTTAATTCGTAAAGACTCCAATAATCACATGCTTGGCCTGGGCATCTATATTCGTAAGAACTCACCCATTTGTCGTGAAACTAGGTTTGAATCTACAGACTATTCATTTATGTGCTTTCGTTTAGCACAACTTCACTCTATCGCCTTTCTCTTTGTTCTATATCGCTCTCCTTCATCCCAAGATTGCACTATTTTTGATGTTATTTCTGATCAAATTGACCGAGCCCTCTCTCTTTATCCATCGGCCAATATCGTCGTTGTTGGTGACTTTAATGCCCATCACACCGATTGGCTTGGCTCTAGTGTCAGTGACTCTGCTGGCGTTAAGGCCCTCAACTTTTGCCTTTCTCAATCTCTAACTCAAATAGTCAACTTTCCAACTCGTTTTCCAGACAACCCTAATCATTTACCTTCTCTACTCGACTTATGTCTTGTTTTGGATCCTAGTCAGTGCTCAATTTCTCAACATTCACCCTTAGGTACTTCTGATCACGGTTTGATCTCTCTAAAACTATTATCAAATTCTTCTACTTCATCAGAATCCCCCTATCATCGTACCACATACAACTACCTTAAAGCTGACTGGGACTCTTTCCGTGATTTTCTTCGTGATGGCCCTTGGGTAGAAATCTTTCGTCTTCCTGCTGACAAATGTGCTTCTTACATAACTTCGTGGATTCAGGCTGGCATGGAATCTTTTATTCCCTCTCGACGATTCCAGGTCAAGCCTCACTCTTCTCCTTGGTTTTCCTCACATTGCGCTGCAGCAATTTCTAATCGAAACCGTTACTTCCATATCTATCAGCAAAACAATTCTCCAGAAAACAGACATCTGTTCACTATCGCCAGAAACCATTGTAAAAAGGTTTTGTCTGACGCCAAAGCTCGCTATTCCCAGGTCATTAAATCTCGTATCTCATCACAAAAATTAGGCTCTCGAGACTTCTGGAGAATCTTTAACAGTATCAATAATAAGGGCAAATCTGTTATTCCTTCTCTCTTGTATGGTTGAGACTTTGTCACCTCACCTAAAGACAAAGCTGAATTGTTTGCTAAGAACTTTTCATCAATATCATCTCTTGATTCCACTAGTTGCGTTTTACCTGACATAGCCATCAAACAGGTTGATCCCTTGCTTGACATTCGCATCACTTCAGCTTCTGTATCTAAAGTAATTTCCTGCTTAGACTCTTCAACAGCTTGTGGCCCTGACAACATTCCTGTTGTAGTCTTGCAGAGGTATTCTCCGGAGCTTTCATCCATACTTTCTAAACTATTTAACAAGTGCTTATCAGAGTCTTGTTTTCCATCATGCTGGAAAGCAGCATCTGTTATCCCTATTTTCAAAAACTCCGGAGAGCGATCTGATTCATCTAACTACCGTCCCATTAGTCTTCTTCCTGTCATAAGCAAGGTTTTTGAATCTTTAATCAACAAACACTTAATCTCTCATCTTGAATCAAATAACTTACTTTCTGATCATCAATATGGATTTCGGTCTTCTCGTTCTACAGCTGATGTGCTAACAGTAATAACCGATAGGTTTTACCGTGCATTAGATAGAGGTGGAGAGGTTAAGGCTATCGCACTTGACATTTCTAAAGCTTTTGATAAAGTTTGGCATGCTGGTCTTCTCCATAAGCTTTCTTCTTATGGTGTAGCTGGTAACGTCTTTAAAATTATTGAGTCCTTTCTTTCCAATCGTAGTATAAAAGTTGTCCTCGATGGACAACACTCTTCTTCACATCCTGTAACTTCAGGGGTTCCTCAAGGTTCAATCCTTGGCCCTATACTCTTTTTAATTTACATTAACGATCTTCCAGATATTCTCACATCTAAGGTGGCATTATTCGCTGACAACACTACCATTTACTCTTGTCATGATAAGAAGCCTACACTCTCTGATTGCTTGGAGGGGGTATCTGAGCTTGAAAAGGATCTCACTTCTGCTACAGCATGGGGCTCACAGTGGCTGGTGAACTTTAATTCAGATAAAACTCAATTTTATTCGGCCAATCGTTATCATAATAATTTAGATCTTCCTATATTTATGAATGGTAATGTACTAGATGAGTCATCTACCATTCATCTTCTAGGATTAACTCT